ACCCATTACTCAGCCAATGGACCAAAGGGAAATGGAGATATGAAAGCAGCAAAGCGAATAAGATTTTCAAGCAGCCAGTCGGACATACAATACTATAGAATTCATTTTTACCAATAAATAAATTTTAGACTTAACAAAATTAAGATTTTATTGCATATACTTATTGGGCCTATTTTATATTCATATAAATCCACCATCTCTAACTTATATTTTCTCGGATCCTCTTTGTTGTGTCATTTTTCCACTTCGATTATTTTTCTTTGACCGTTGGCATCCGTGTTGTTTTGAAGCTAAATTATCTAAATTGCTTATGACAAACTCACGTAGCGGATTCCATAACCACCCTGAAAATGGGTGAGGGATTTGGAATGCAGAATGAACTCTATTTCTGTTCCAACTCGGTTGGGTAGCGATTTGTCTGGAAATTTATAGCGGGTTTTATAATTGTTATTCACAGAAAGTTTAGCATCATTCAAGAGCGACCCCGACACCACCTCTTCTGCTTTTGCATTTACAGTTTTCGAAAAATCGTTGTGCAATTTTTTATTTTGGCTTTCTAAGGGTAAGGGGTTGGGTAGAAAATATCTTATATTGCTCGCTACAACACCCCCATTTTCATTTTTGTGTACGTGCAGGTGAACGCACCATTAGGAAAATTCCTTTGTTTTTCCTTTGGTTTGAGGGGGCCTCATGTGTTTACATTCTCATTGAACCAACGAGAACATTTAATTTTGGTTAAAGCAAAGAACCTCCAACTTTAAGTGTTCTTTCTTTTTCCGGTTCCTCCATGTTTTCCATAAATGGAATTTGATAACATTCGTCTTACCTTTTAACGGACTTATATACCAAAATGATTCAAAAGACTTACCTGAAAGAAAACAAAAAATTCAAGAATACGATTAGAACGACAGAGGACGAGCAGAGGCAGAAAAATCAATGTGTATCTTTGAGAGCTGGTAAAACGGTTAACAGGTCGTATGAGTAATTTTACGAGGGCAAAAGAAAACTTTTTATGACAAACCCAAAAGATATGCACCAAATACCAAATTTATGGCGCGCACACAGCATTTTTGTTTGTACACGCATAAGATGCCATTTCTAATTTACGATCTTTGAAGGAATGGACTTTCCCCGGGTGAGTTTTCCCCTTGTTTATGATGAATTTTTTTTCTTTAACTTTATTATTATTGTTCTTTGTTTGCTGTTTTGCTGATTACAACCCCCGCACTTCATCCATTTTCGATTTCAGCTGCACACCTAAAATTATATTATAAGAGCCAGAGGCAAATGAAAGGAAAAACAAGAGAAAACCCTATAGTCGATGGTCTCGACTATTAGGTACGCTTGACTCAGCTTAAGGGAGTGGGAGAGGGAATGAGACATTCTTAAAGCAACTCTGCCTTTTGACTAACACACCAAGCCTATAGGGCAACCTATCATTTTATTTTATAGCGCAACTTAGCCTACATCGCCAACTAGCCTATAGCGCCCTAGCGGCTTGGTGGCGTATTAGTGAAAACAGATTATTTGCTGCATGTGGTGTGAAATCTCGAATAAATAGCAAAATTTTTACTATTATTTGGTTATAACTTTTTAATGCCTGGTCCGATTACAATAATTTTTGGCATGTAGATAGGTATTGATATTGAGAACAAACTGTCATTTACATTTTTACAAAAAAATGTGGGGGCTAGACGAAACTTGCGCTACGCAGGAAGCTCAAGAATCTGCATGTCAAGGCCCAACACTCAAGCTCTTATAGTCTCCGAGATCTCAGCGTTCATACGGACAGACAGACATGGCTAGATCGACTCGTCTAGTGTTACTCTAGGAGTACGGTTATAAAAAGAAGGGGACACACTTTCCGACGAATACAATATACCCCTTTTATTATACGAATTACAATTTAAAATAAATATGCAATTAAAATAGTTATGTTTAAAAAAACCAAATTTACAATAAATAATGTTCTACTCCTATTGCTAATATTATCATTTTTCCTTTTAAAAATTTGAATCATACCAACCCAACAAATTTCTGTTTGTATTTTGTTTAATACATGTCATTAGACCAGCACGGAAACGGTTTCATTTTCCCTTCCAAATGCCGAAAATTTGTCAATAGAGTCAACCCTCGAAACTCAGGCTCTGGATCCCCTCTTTATTTCACGCAGCACGACAGAACATGGACAGAGGCAAAAGGGGGTATAAAGTATGCTGCATACATAAATCAATTTAAATTACCGTTAATTAAATACGCATCAAGTGGGCATCACCACAGAAGCAATACACTGGGGTAGATTGTTGTTATTAGGATGTTCAAAAGAAAAAAGAGGGAGTTGGTGGATGGGTGGTCAAGTATAAAAATTGAGATAGAAGCGGGCGAATGAGAAACATAGATTGGCATTGAAACTGAAAAAGTCCCGAATAGTATGCACCAAAAGTTGAAAATGGCGCACCCATCCTACCACCACACACCAACCACTCCCTGCCCTGGCCCACCTATTATTCCACTCGTCTGTTTTGTGGTTACGCGCTTCGCTTGTCGTGAATTAGGAGGCCAGAGCAAACTACATACCCACCAAGCAAACAAGCAAAATAAAACCTGAGACCCTAAAAATAAATAAATATTAGTCCAACAGATACCAACAGATATACGCATTTCGCTCATTTACTAGAAAAGAGACAAATCTAAAAGAAAATAATTTTTAGAAAAAAGCGCATTTAAAATGAAATGTCTTTCACGAAACAGATCAACATTTAACAAACTCTGTCTATTAAAAATAGTATATTGCAATTTTTGCACAACGTCAATTATTTCACAAAGAAGGTTTCTGCATCATTACTCTAAGATCGTGTTTTTTGACATGTCTTTGTCGTTCAAAGTCTGGGTTGACTTTCTCTAAACAGGGTGCAAGAACTTAGAACTTCAAAAACAAGGACAAAAACACGCACACACATAAACAAAAACTTGAAATGGGAATAGCGAAAAATGCAGTTAGAAAACCACAATGATGCGGCTCGCCAAGGGAAATTGGGAGAATTCCAATCCCCGGAAACCAGAGCACCGAAGCCCGAACTTCCCAACTCCCCACCGTAACAGGCACAGCACTTCTAACTTTACACGAGCAACAAAGTCCGGTTTCCCCTATGTTTTCATAGCGTACCCCACTTTGTTTTTCCAGCAGCAACCCCCGAATTTGGCCAAGGGCCTGCAAATGACATTGATATTTTTCTGGCTGACCATATTCGCCAAGGAGGGGGATATTGGGAAAACCCGGAGAAGAAAACATTTAGATTGAAAAGGCTATGACCAAAAGTATACCCTGGAATTCAGAAATGTTAAGGGTATCACTGTTATTAATTATTAAAAAATGAAACCCTAACATAGCTATGCTATACTGAAAGTACAGGGGTGGTAGTACTCAAATTGTCCAGTAATTTGTGTTCTATTATGTTTTGTTAATCATTGCTATGGGAGTTATAGTTGTCCAATCCGGTCCGTTCCGACCAGTATACTTACTGCCTGCAATGGAAAGACAATTTTTGGAACGGACGGACAGGCTCTTAAACAAGTGTTCATTGAAAAAAGAATAAACAAGAGTGCAGCGTTAGTTTATCAGTAATATCAAATTAAATAAACTAAGAAACCAACTGAAACTAAAAATTAAATGAAGACTAAGCAATAATTATTTCATAATTCAATACTTCACTACTTGCTTAATCATTATAGCAAACAGCTTGCAATAAAATCTTGTTACTTGATGCTTTTACTTATATTACTCCCACAACCCGTGGGTTATAATTCCTTTACAATTGCGCTTCCCGCGTAAATCATTCAAAGAAGTTTTAATGTAAAATGAGACCTCCGACTACCCGCTGTGAAAGCGGAAGATTTTTCCTTTCGACTTTTGTATTTAGTTTTAACTTTCATATAATTACAAAACTCATTAGTGCAGAATCTTTCTGGTCGGGAACCACTTTTCCGTTGGAAAGTATGCAACGTTAATTGAAATTGGGGTTGGTATAGGCGGATGAGACTGGTCCAAACATCTCCGAAAAGTCGGATAAGAAAACAGTTACAGCTACCTTAGCATACGAAAACCCACCTACAGAACTGAAGTGAAGTTAGGCTTTTAAAAGCTTCTCCGAAAATCCATACCGTTAGTTTGGACAGACGTCTAATGTTGGTCCTTTGCCCAAAGCAGCGCGACGAAGATCGGCAATCAATTGTGGATCGATTCGTGGATCGCCAGCAGTGGTGGTGACTCAGATTACGAGTAAAGAGCGTTCTTCTCGGAGGAGCCCGAGTCCCAGATGCCTTACCACATGCCATCGCAGGAACTCCTATTCCCCCACTCATGTGGAGGAGTTTACAATCTGTGCGGAAGTACATCTTCAGCCTGATTTGGTGTAGGATACTATCCTCCGACCCCTTAACAAGAGAAACTGGGTATTACCATAGAGGATGTCATCAAGGTCCTCGCCACACATCCTTCTCCTGTTTCACAGTCATTACCATCGGCTTTGATGTGAGCTTCGAGTGTCAACCTCTTTGAATTCAATACGACACAGGTGTGAAATTTACGATCTACTTCTGATTTGCATTCGCAAATTGGTAATACAATAGGTTGTCGTCGGGCTGTTGTTTTTCCCCCACCGCCCTTCGATACTCCCGATAATGGACTATAAATTGAATGGAGTCTAGTCTTATTTACATAAGTGACATCATTTTACATAATAAGGGGTAGCCAAAAACAGTTGTCGGAGGAGGAACTTTTTGAGGAGCTCGATTCCGCCGAACACAACTGCACTTAGAAACACTTGAGGCTCGTGGCAAGGTGGTCGTCACTGGCAGCTATAAAAGCAAACAGCTCGGTGTTGTACTGCCTCAGTTAAAGCCTCCCAGCAGAACGCCGCGGGAAAATTAAAATTATTTATAGGGTGTTAATTGGCTATATTTTCAACTTGTACCATCTGATCCCAAATCTTATGTACCTTTTCCAGCAGTTCGCCAGATAGAATCATGTGCCTCATCCTCCCACTCGACTGCTGCGGTTGCTTTTCCCCGAGGTCCTGCCAAAGGCAAAAACAAGAGCAGCAGGAGCAGCACTTGCAGCACCAGGCGAAGAACTACCACTCGAGTATCCAGCTGAACGAGCTATCGTCAGTCTGCCAGGTGACTACCAGCCAGCCATCGTTGTCCAGTCTGAGTCCTAGTTTAATGGCCCTGCCCCACACGATCACACACCACCCAGCCGGTGGAACGCCTGGTGGCTCGCCTCCTTTGACGAGAGGGCAAGAGTCCTAACTTCGAGTCAAAAAAAATTAAAATCAGGATTCGTCCTGCTTAATTGAGATTTCATTATTTAAGTTATGAGGCCATAGGAAGATTCTTAAAAACGATAAAGCTTTCATTACAACATTTTATAAGTAATAATGAGGGTTTTGCGATATTTTTGTTTCAAATTTTTTTTGTATCATACAACTAATGCAGCTGCTAAGAATTCAGCTGAATCTCTTTAGAAATCACGAAAATAGAAACTATTGTTTGCTTGTAAACCTGCTGAAAGCACTTTCGACTGCCCCTACCCGAGAAAGCGCTTTGATCCACCACACTAACAAAAAACAGAGCAAAAATACTGGGAGACAATTTTCTGGCTGTGTGCACCTTAGCGAATCCCACATGGCCTCTTTAGAGTATTCATTTTTAAAATGAAATTACTCTACGTTTTGCGCGAGAAAGAGTAAAAATTTGATTAGCTGCTTGTTTAACTTTAATTAAGTTGATTTCGCACACACACTGAACACCGGAAAGTTAATCAAATATTTAAGAGGGCCTTTTTCCTGTTTTCCCAGAGCGAGTGCCGCAGGGTTTAGTTTAGTTTAGCTTTGGGTTGTGCAGAGTTGGTAAATATTAACATTTTGACTAAGCAAACTGGCGAGGGTAATCAAACGAATATATTTATATTTATGATGATCATTATTAAACGGGATTCAAAGTAGCAGTAGTTTACTGGTTATGCAGTTCAGGACCAGCCTGTGAAGCCTGCGAACAAGTTTTCACAGCCCTTAAGGGTTTTTGACGGTAGTTTAAGAACAGAATTTATCTGCAAGCTCCATTCTGTCCCTGCCAAAATGTTCCGACCTAAGTCATTTGTCAAGATGTCATTAAAATAAAAATCGGGAGCGTGTTAAATGATTTACAAAAACGACAGCCGTGGAACCGAACGGGGAAAACAATTGTGTGGCCCTTTCAGTTTATATTGTTTGAGCTCCCTAGTTTTTTTTAAGCCACTTCCGTATTTTATGCTTTTTATGACTTTTCAATAAGTTTTCAATAAGTTGTCGCCACAACCCCGAGAGAATTTTGCCCATCGAGCCATTAAAAAAGCCAAGTTTAATATCGATAAGTTTCTGCATCGAAAAGGGCGTGTGTTAGATCTTGTAGGAGTTAAGGTGTTTTTAAACGCTGCAGAGGCTCCCTTGCTGAATGTGTAAATGTTGAACATCAATACTCTCAATTCCGCAAGAAATATATAATTTTTTTGATTTTTCGTTTAGCATTGAGAGTTATTCTTCTGCAAGAGTGCTACTTCAGATGCCATAGTGCTGACCCACCAACGGAAAAGCCGAGAAAGGCCCATAACTCCATTTCGAAAACAGAGTAAAAGGTCCTTGAAATTGCCTCCGTTTAACGAAGATCTTTTTGGAAGAGATTGATTTGGGTTTGTTCCGTCAGGTTTAAACTTAACTTTCGAGTCATTCTGGGGCCCTAGGGATTGGGTTATTTTCAATTCAATCGTTAACCATTAGCCGCCAACAACATTTTTATGCCACTTTAATAAATTTAAGAAGCTAACAAGTGTACGACGAAGGGGGAGATTCGCTGTACGGGAAAAGTTTTTGCACTTTGCGACAAATGTCTTGAGCTGCAATCGTCCCCGGAGGTTTATATTTGCCCCAAGTTCGTTTTTTGGTGAGAAGGTTGACGAGGGTATAGCTTGTATGTATGGATTCTGATATCAATAATCATTCCCCTTGTCCGCGTAGCCCCATGAAGAGATATAATAATATAACCAAGTGAAATGCATAAATAAACATTTGTGGGATATGGCAGTATTTCACGCTCCCCTAAACCTTTCCTCTTTGTAAATTGATACAAATCGTTCTATAATCACGCAATTGCATTTTATTTCTTTCGAGGAAAAGAAACAAAAAGAGGCAGCAAGACAACTTTCAGGCTCGTATGCGTAAATTTACTTGATACGTCCTCTGGGGGTGAAGTGGGCCCAGTGTTGCATTTACAAGCAGTGGGGTTAGTTACATTTTCTATTAATGGCATACGGCCACACTGAGAAAAAACTGTGGGTACTGAAAGAAAATGGAATGGATATAGAAATACAAAATGTTAAAAGATGTAGAGGAACCATCCAACTGCACTTATTTCTCAGGCGTAAAGGTGAAAAAAATATAATTAGGGAACTATTTTTTGCGCCTTATTGGGTATAGTTTTAGATTCTTGACGTACAGTTTAGTGTAACCCCTCTGCCAATCCTCGGAAACTTAGAAACCGCTCGAAGAAAAATGTATCAAGAAATGAATGTGCCCTGAAAACTAAATTATAAACAAGATTATTATGTAATTTAAATTAAATTTAAAATTGGTATAAAAGTGCAGATCCGCAACAAAAACTCCTGTGAAAAATAATAGTACTTTGCTAATGTTTGTGAAACAAAATATTGATATATTGTAATCCAATCAAGCGAAGCCTTCTACATTAAATGGACCGATAACGCTAATAGTGTATTGAGCTCATTAATTTTCAGTGCAGCCACGACCAACGCCCCTCGAAACAGTACCACCCAATTACTGAGTTTTATTTATCATGTGGCAAATGTTGTAACGCATTTTGTAATCGATACAAAGCAATCACATCGAATTGAAGTCAAAATCCGGAGTGAAAAAGGCAGGGGCGTGCAAGGCACGTGACCAATCAAATGGGCGTGGCAGAGACTGACTGAAAAAGGGAATTGTATGTGCGTAGGTTTCACGTTGCTAAATTAATGGAGCACCAAGAAATACACCCAGGGAAAACAAACGAACGAACGTTATAGATTTAGAGTATAAAAATGAATCGAAATAAGTACGACACTAAATTGTTTTAAGAACATTTCAATAACTACTTGTATTAACATTTTTTAATTAACAATTTTAGTTTAATTTAACTCATTTTTAGATATCAGCATATTTTAAATTTAGTTTCTATACGGAAAAAAAAACAAAGATATAAGTGATAGAAAAACTCTTACCCCGGCCTCGACTTGAACCTACGAGCGTTCGCACTACAGAGAGACAACTTAAGGAACTTGACCGCGCACCCTCCTAAAAGACCGCTGACTAAACCAGACTCAATTATTCTCGGCCAAAGGGCTAGCATACCGGCCAAAGGGCTAGCATATTTATTATTTTATCTACGGTTTTTAACCGAACAAGAAAGAACGCTATGGTTGAGTACGTCGAATGTCAGATACCCGTTACTGAGCTAAAGGCACCAAAGGGAGATGGAGATATGCAAGCAGCACTGCGAGATTGTATTGCGCCACCTACCCGCGATCTCAATATATGGTTATGTGGGCGGCAGGCAGATTTAAGCGATGTGGGCGTGGCAATCTCTTTTTGGGTGAATCGATAGATACACCCAGAAAAAAAAGAACGAACAAAATCAAGAACATTTTTCATGAAATGCGAACAATCCGTTCTCCATTTTTAGTTCTCACATTTCGAACGTTTGTTCACGAAAATCGAACGGAGTTGGTAACAATTTCTACCGACGAACAACTTGGTTCCAAATTGCGAAAAATGTTCTCAGATATCGAACGCCGTTCATGAAAAAGCTGCGATAGACGCGTTAAAGTCTATCGAAATCGATAAACTATCAACATCGTTCATAAAATCATGTATGTAGGTCTAGTGCCCCGATTGTCCGCACTAGAAAAATTCGCTCGGTGGTCCAGCTGCTAGAGCGTCCGCCTCCGACACTTGGTAGCACAGGTTCGAGTCCGCGAGAAGACGGTTGTGAATTGTAAGTTTTATTAAAATATTATTTCTAATGCTTATATGTACTTCTATTTATAAATAAATTCTTTGTCTTCAGCAAAATATCCTAAATACATTGAATTCTAGCAATAACAAAACATAAGGTGGAAAATTAAATAAATCCTCTACCCTCTACCAGGCGTCCAGAAAGTCTAGCGTGTACACAACCTCGTTTTTTTTTTTTAGATGTTTATGTTCTCAGGTTAAGCCCGAAATGTTCTTAAGCTGACACCATTCGTTCGGAACCCGACCCTAAAGTTTCGGTCACATTTTACGAACGACCGTTCATGAACTGTCAACAAACGGGCTCACGCACTTTTTGACAACGTTTGGTCTTGATTTTTGAACGTTTCGAACGGATTTTTTTCTGGGTGTATGGACGAGAGTAATAAATGTCACTTAAAATTTTTTTCTATGAAAATTGTGGGCGCCACAGGCTTGGGCGGTTTGTGGGCGTTAACAAACTTGCGCTGCGTACAAGGCTACGAAATCTAAGTCTAAAATCCCAATTCTCTATCTTTGATAGTTTCGGATTATAAAATAAACTTACGCTGCACAGGAGTCTCTAGACAGATAGATAGACAGAAAAGCAGAAAGACAGGTAGACTGGGCTAGTGATCCTGATCAAGAACATACAAGTACATACTTTACAGGGTAGGAACCCTTCTTTCTGTTAGACCCTTTGTTCCTTTCACTGTACGAGTAGAAAACTGGGAGCCGGAAAATAACAGATAAGACGCCAATCAAATCACAGAACCTTAATGACCCCATACTTCCGACTTTATTTTCGGTCGGGAAAAAGTTTTCCTGTTGCAACATAATACTTACACAAAATAAATATATAATTCAATTAATTACAGACACTAAATTAAGCTGTTACGTTTTCCACGTTTTCCTCCCAACTTTCCCGCAACTGTGTTTCCATTATCAAGCAGGGAAACCCTGCCATCATTATTATTATTTTTTTGCTGCTTTGTTTAAATAACCAATGCAAAAGACAAAATGCTGAGTGCTACTTCCCCCTAACATTGGTTCTTCCACCAGCTGGCCAACGCAGAATTCTATTTTTTATACAGTTATGACTTTCTCGCCTTTTCGTACTCGTTATTTTTTAGTTTTTTTGAGCATTGCGCTTCCTTAATTGCACTTGCTAATTGATTTGCCAGACAAAGGAATCGGGTGCTTTAAAAAGAAACGGAATGGGGTAAAAGA